CCCTCTCCCTCTCTCCCTTCCTTTTCCCTGAGTCTGGTCCACGTTCCTTGTCCTTCGTCGGACTCCTTTTCTTTGTAACCTTTTCTTATTTAACTCGGTCTCCTTTTCTTTGTACCCTTTCTCATTCATCTTGCTTAGTGCTTCTTTGTATATTTTACACTCTGCCTGTGTACATTTGTCATAAAGGCACTGCGCTCTCTTTGAATGGAGAGGGTGACCTGGAACAGATTAACATTTCAGGACCTCATTTATATATACATATATAGATAGATATCTGTGTCTGTCTGTGTGTGATTGTTTGTTCTTATGCATTTTATGGTAAAGTACGCAATGAGAGAAGGTGACCTGTTTTATCTCAAACTGACCCCATGCCCTGCTCATTTTGTGATCCAAATATAAACCTGATAAAATTCCATGCAGAAGGGCCTGTGAACTGTGTATGTGTATGTGTATGTGTATGTGTGTATGTGTGTGTGCCCTCTTCAAGCTCGGATGCATATGAAAAATAAACATTTAGTTTGGAACATAAAAATGCTTGCTAATGAGATCAGTCACATCGCAACTGGTGCAATCAAAGAATTAAGCAATGTTTTTCTTTAAGGTCTCCAAAAATAGCAGGTAATTTAGCGTGAGAACGAGAAAAGTTACATAGTAATGGATTTTTCTTTGGTCTCATGTTTGTTCTCAATTAGAAAGTGTTTAAAAGGTCACAGTGGACCCTTTTGTCAGCTGTTTCTTTTCATGTTAAGTCTGCGTTCTTTTTCATGAGCATACAGTTTGGCCTGGACTTGCTGTAATTTACTTAGTGGCTGCCTGTTGGCTTTAAGAACTAACTAGTGTTTGTCCCTTGGTAACCTTTTTAATCTTCTACAGCTCCCTGCAGATTTAGCCTGGTTATTATCCCAGGTTATCTTAGCCGCCGCTAAAGCTTTGACTGGACCTGCTGTGACAAGTCGTCGTGGTGTATTAGCACCTCACTGCCATGCTGGTGAACTGTCTGCATTCACTTGAGGATTGACCTATGTGTGTGACCCTCTGTTTCAGTGCCTTTTATGATGTGAAAATTACATGGGTTCATACTATGGTGAATTTCAGCCAGAACTAGCTACTGAGCCCTTATTATATTCCTCTAAATACATCATAGTCAATGTGGAATTTGAAGCAGAAAGAGCTTCACAGAATCAAGCCCCATGCAGAAAGTTGTGCAAACGTTAAAGCATCAACACCCATCACCCCAAATATGTGTCATGCACAGTGTTTTTATACAATCATTTTTCAGTTAAGTGCTGTTTACTTTGTATTATGGTGCTGAGGCTTTTTGTGTCCATTCCTCTGTGATGAGGTGAGGACAAACAGGAGGAAAAAGGAGGTTTTGTCAGATTCTCATCTCTCACACGTGCACTACATGTGCACACATACACAACCCTTGTTCACTTCCATGCAAACAGACACATACACGCATACACATGTTTTACTCCTCTGTAAAAACACATGCACATCACACACACATAGACACTTTGAGTTTCAGAACTCTGACAACCTGTAATCTACTTTAATCCTTTCATTATGTTTTTGTTTTCCTTTCCCCTGTTTGGGGAAAAAGGTGAATGCAAACAGGAATTCCGGCATACAAAGAAAAACACACAGCCTCAGGCTGAGAAAACAAGAGCAGGGAATTTTTGGGAAGGGGATGGACACTTGTGTGCAGACATGTGTGCATCGCTGTTTGGCAAGAAGAAGAGAGAATGCATTGTTCATGTGATGATGTTACATACATATGTAAGCGTGCGTGTGAGCTTGCTGTGTTGTCTCTTGCACATGCTGATCAGGGCACAGAGGGGTCATCTCACTGCAGGTCCCTGAACTCTCTCAGGTCTGATGGCCGCCAATCACCCACTGTGAGAGACTGTGTAGATTATCAACAGTGCCAAATTTTCTAATATTTGTGCATTTTTTTTATCTAGACTTTGGTTTTGTGTATCTGGTTGCTATTTGTTTAGTTGTGTTGGCCATGTTTCCACAAACAGTTCCCGTTATGGGCTATTTCATTTTGCGTCACTCCTTGCTTATTTTGTGTATAACCTGAATTGCACATATACAACTAGTGAGCTGTTTATTACAATACTGGACAACATGTGTGGATAAAACATTCTTGTTCCATCTGTTTAGTGTTGCAGTGATTTAATAGACTTTAACCTGATTTCACCTGGTTGATCTCCTTTAATGTAAAGAACTATTAGTAAACATTAAGCCAGAGCTGGAACTGTTAAAGTTAGTAAACAAACAGTAAAAGTAAAAATAGGTCTAAATTCATCTTAATCTTATTTTTCTGTGTTACATGGTTTAATGACAATTGAAAGTAAAAGTTGTTTCTTATTATTTCTTTACTGGATAATCAACAGAACCTCTGTTTAGCATCTAAAAGGTACAGATGGACCACACAAGGCAGGCATGATGCACATTAGACCACATTTAATACTCTGCAACATTGGGACCCCATGGAAATCATAACTTCAGTTAGTGGAAAGGAAGAATTCGTGTGTGTGTGTGTGTGGTGTTGTGCGTGTGCGCGTGCGCGTGCGCGTGCGTGCGTGCGTGCGCGCAATATGTGGGCCTGACTGGTAGCTTGTAGCGTGCCTGCTCTTCCACATGGAATTCATTACAACTCTGTGGGATGTTTATTTTCTCTATTAATCCCTGTTCCTCTATTATCAAGCTCCATCAAAACTGCCCCAAACTACTGCCCTGCAGGCAAGCTGGCATTCTCGCAAACTCTCTCTCTCTCTCTCTCGTCATCTCTCCTTCTTCTCTCTCGTCGTCTCTCCTCATTTCTCTCTCTCCTCTTCTTCTCTCTCTCTCTCTCCTCCTCTCTTCTTCTCTCATCTCTCTCTCCTCTCTCTCTCTCCTGTTATAAATGAGTGACTTTTCCTCTAGTTGTGTGTCTCTTTTGCATATTTTCTCCCAATGTGGTGTGTTGCTGCTTTTGTGATGTAAAGATATAAGATTTCATGCCATGGTCCAACATGCCCCCCAGGGACCTCCATAGCATCAGCATGTTGTGATGATGTCAAGAGCAACTGTGAACTTTTTGTTGGCATTCTTAATTGTTTAGTGTACACAGAAGCAAATTCTTTCCCCCAGATGAAAGCAGCCCATGCAACCAGGAGCACATGTCTTCCATTTACTGCCAGTGGTTTTGACCTTTCAACAAATTGGTCTGTGTGTTTTGATGAGCGTGATTTGTATTTTTACCACTGTGTGAGCCCACAATATCACCACAAAAACGCAAAACCTGAAAATGCGGATACTTGAAAGGGCCTCTGCCTGATTGGATAAGAAAAGGACCCTGTCTTTGAAGCTTAGTTTTGGGGGGGAAAGGAAGAATATCTAATAAATACTTTCTGCTAGAAAAACATTTAAGAAAATCCTAAACCCCCCAAAAATTCTGTGTTTTTGTCCCCTTGCAGGCTACACGTGCCACACTGACAACTCACTGTTCGTCCCTGGGCGACTCCCTGAGGAAGGAAAATGAGCTGGCGCTGATTATCGATGGTCAGACATTGAAATACGCGCTGTCCTTCGAGCTCCGCCAGGCCTTCCTTGACTTGGCGTTGTCCTGCAAGGCTGTCATATGCTGCCGGTAGGGAATACTCATTCACATACATTGACACACAGTATCTGTATCTGCACAGATAGACACACATCACTTATGTCTAGTCTTATCATTGGCTTATCATCTAGTAGGGCAACCACCAACTGGAAGATACCTTGTAGAGAAAAAATGCACACAAAAGCTTCAGAAAAAAAATCAGTTGAAACCAAACTCACACGCAGATTAATTGTCACTGTTGTGCATGATAAAGAAAGAGTCAGTGTGTGTATGCATGCGCACGCCCGTATACCTGTGTGCATGTATTTTTGTAAAGGTTGTCGGTTGCCTACAGTCAGCAAATGAACAAGGAGGATAAAAGTCTGTCCCGCAGCACAGCAGGAGTAATGTAATACACTACGCTGCATGGAAATGTCAAAGTCATGACTCACTTACTGCTGGTACCCCTGAAATGGGCACCAACACACAGAAACACACTCTCTCACACACACACACAGACTTAGCCATTATATATTTCCATTCATACAAAGTGCACTCTGTCCATAGAATATTTACTGCATGTTCCCTTTTTTGGTCATGTTTCATTCAACACCAGCTGTGATGTTTAACAAAAGAGTTTCCACTTGTCTTTTGTCTCTGTCTGTGAGTGTGTGAGTGTGTAGTGTGAGTGTGTGGCTGTGTGGAGGTTGGGTGGTGAGTGTTGAGTGTGTGCGCGTGTGTGTGCGTGTGTATGTGCAGCCAGAAGGGAAGCAATTGACTCTCCCTTGCATATCCAGGCCATATCCGGACTCAGATCTCACAGGCCTTGCAAACAGCCTCCAGCTTCCTTTCCTCCCGTCCTTCACTACATCCCTCTCTCCCTCCACACTACCTCCTCCCATCCATATCTCTCTTGCTACCTTGGCTGGGGCTGGTAAAATATGTCCAAACCAAATAATAAACATGTAAAGTACTCAAAGTTAGCATCAGATGTCTAGTCCCATTCATAGTTAGTTCCTGATTTAAAGCAGGAACTTTTTTTGTTGATTCTGATGGCCCCTGTGGACAAAAGCGGAAGTGTTTCCGCCGCCTCGTTTCATTGATTTCAAGGGGAATCCGACAGAATCTAACCCGGAGTTAACCCGGTGCTTGCGTAGGTCATATAGAGGCATCAGACTGTTTCATAACCAGTTAAAAATTCAATGTACTCGGTTTAACATTTTGCCAGTTTGTGCAAAAGAGCAAACTTCAGGTACTCGAGTGTAGAGAAGCATGTGGAGTTCTCATAAAAAGCTTTAATTAGTGACATGGCTTGCTCATGAAAGGTCTTTATCAGGTTACATTCATCAAAACTCCACATATTTTTTGCTCCGCTACGCACAAGTACCTGAAGCCTTTTTTTCAGGAGCACCAGCATTAGTTTGTTGAGTGCATCCCAAGATTTACCCATTGAGTAAAACACTGGATTTTTTGATTCCTCAGATTGTGTTTTATATGAGCAGTTAGTGAGCCCAAGACTCTCTCTGAGATAAACCTATACATAAAAAAATAAAGATCAAAGAAAAGTTGCAGAATTAGTTTTGTATTGTTTCCTTCACCTGTAATCATCTCATGATGCCTTGGGAGGTCCTGACCCACATGTTGGCAACCACTGTTGTGTGTGTGTGTGCGTGCATATTCAGGGCACGATACTGTTAATAAGGTGCCTGTACATAATGAGCTTTGACTTTTAAGTATAGAGGGGCCTGTGAGATAATGTCTCACCTACAGAATGTGTGTAATGTTTCACAGTTTGGGAGCGTGTGTGTGTGTGTGTGTGTGTGTGTGTGTGTGTGCCTCAGGGGCGGCAGAGTCACTGTGCACCCATACGCATGGCTTCCTGACTTCACTGTGCGTTTGTTTATGGGAGGACTTAGTGGCTGCTTATTTTCTGCTCATTTCCACCGTGAAGAGCTCTAGGAGCCTTTCATCTTTGCAACGCCACTTTACACAATCCCAGACACTGTTAGCAGTGTTTAGAGGAAAGGTAGGGAGAGAGAGATAAAGAGAGATTTGTGATCAGAGGCCGAGCGGCGCACAGGCAGACACACTCACACGCACTTCAGACGCAGAAACGGGAAAAACAAAGAGCAGAGGTTGATCCCATCCTTCAGCAACAACTACAGAGGCCAAGACTCTCTCTCTGAGGTTTTCCCCTGGAAATATCCTCTGGTGTGGTGTGGGGGTGGGCTGGAGGTGTGTCTGTGTGTGTTTGCGCATGTGTGTAAATTTGTGTGTTTTTGCACACTCCTTTTTATGAATACTAAGAAGACCACCCAACTCTGTGATTTCAGCTTGACCGGGACATGATCCTTCTTACATATTCATAGAAGATAGACCATCTTTGTGACCTGTGGGCTCTAGCCGGACGTATGTGTGTGTTTGTGTTGATGTGTGTGTGTGTGTGTGTGTGTGTGTGGTGATACATCTGCTCATAATTTTATTTAGTCATATCTTTATCAAAGCATCATATTGTATTCTGTTTGCATGTGATTGCTCATGCAGCTGGATGTAATTTAATTTTGTAATATCATTATTACTGACGAACATGGTGGAGATTTGGTGCTAAACCTAAGAAAGCTGTACTTGTACGCTGTCATTGTGAAGTCACTCCTCCTCTGTTTGAAGTTCAGTCCACACTTTAAGTGGATAGACCTGTGTTAATACTCAGATTACTATCACCTAATACATCACTGAGGCTCGGGTAATTACTATAATCAGGGAAATGTAATGTAAATATTTAATATCTGGATTTGGGTTAATATCTTGTAATGCAGCCAAGTGGCCCCTTGTACCTTTTTAAATGATGTCGAAATGTATGTAATAAATACCACATTTTATATAAAACACAAATAACTTCAGATACTATAAATGTTTTTTTTTCTCATACTGTACGTTAGCCTCTATAGTTATAAATCCTGTACTGTGGGAAATATATCTTCTTTTGTTATACAAGTTTAATCCCAGTCCCAGTATCAGTTGTCTCCCATGTCTCCTCCTTTTTTAGATATATTTGTTTTCACTGCACAGATTGCATGTAGTAAGAACAAGACTTGCGTAAGCTGTGCGCATGTGAATGACAGGCCGTTGGAACGCCCCCTCATACAAAGCATGTTTTGAAAATGGAGATGAAGACAAATTCAAGCCTAGTCATTGGGTCCAGAATGCAGCTTCTAAGAACGTAAACACAGTGTGTGGGGTAGGATTTTTCTCACACAACCACCTCCTAAGATCCCTGCCAGTGAAGCATGTTCATTCCCTGATATATCTCTCTAAAAAACAACCATTATCCAAAGCTGAAATTTGAACTGTACAAATAAACGGCTCATATACAAACGCATGTGAAAAGCAGGGTAGTATAAATGGCTTGGCATAAAAGAAATGAGGAGTTTCTTTAGTCACTGCTTCACAAAATTAACAATGTGATCCGAAACCTCCAAAATAGCTACTAAATGGACTTCGGTCTACATTCCCTTGAAGTTCTTAAAGTGCTCAAACAACTGAGCAAACTACCTCTGTTGAGGAAGAACAAACGCTCGAGATCAGCTGCTAACTAGGCCTTGCAGTGAGATTGTCAAGAATGAACTTTTATGTTTTTCTAAGCTAAAATGAAGAAAATGGCTCCTTAGCAGGGTTTTCTTTCCAAGGCAGATGGTGGAAGAAATTGAAGAGGAAAAACCACGTCCAAAACCTCTTTAGTAAAGCCAAACAGAATAACCAATACAACATAGGGCCGTGAATAGAGCAGATTCAAAACATGGCAGTATAAAAGGAAAGACAAAATATCCACAGTGCTTCCGCCAATGCAGCCGAACACCTCGCTATCATCTCTCAGTGGCCCTGAGGGAAACGTCTGTAATCGAGCCTCCCTGGGTCCCTCATTGTCATTGTAGAGACAGAACCGGTTATGAACAGGAGGATCAGTGATACAGGTCAAGAGGGTGGAGTACCACTGGAAGCTCCCCGAACACACACACTCTCTGAGGCACACTCAGATGTATGCAGACATGCACAAACACACACCACTGTAAGCACACACAAATATATAAACACATCAAACGTGAGCTACCCACAGTCTTATTAGCAGAACAGTGAATCATTGTTTCCTAATACCTGGTGAAGAGCAGTAAACACAGCCCTGCAGTGTGTGTGTGTCTGCCAGCCTCTCATCTATCTTTCTTTTTCCCTTTCAACTATTTCCCTCTCTCAGGCTTTATTTATCTTTCCTAATTGCTGGTCTCTTTGTTTTTCCCCCTCAATTTCTAAAATTCTTTCTTCTTTTCTTTCAGTATTCTTTTATCTTCTACATTTAATTTCCTACTGGTACAGACAGCTGTATACACTTACAATGTCCACCAACCGTGTCTATCCTTCTATTTTCATTGTTTCTGCAGAGTGTCTCCACTGCAGAAGTCAGAGATTGTGGACATGGTGAAGAAACACGTGAAAGCCATCACGCTGGCGATAGGCGACGGTGCAAATGATGTTGGCATGATTCAGACGGCTCACGTTGGAGTGGGGATCAGTGGCAACGAGGGCATGCAGGCCACCAACTCTTCTGACTACTCCATAGCACAGGTGGGATGCAGAACACAGCCTTGGTTGGGGTCACACAGATACATTACAGGCTTTATATGAAAATAGATAATGGATACATGCTTGGTTGTCCATCCTGCTTAAGTGTCTTTTGACAAGACACAGAATCCTGACCTGCTCACTGTTCAGCTGATCCTGATCTTTGACCTCCCTGCAGGGGGACAGCTGAAAGGAGAATTTACTTACAGGGGTCACTTGAGTATCATGTTATCAATACAAAGGGCTCATCACATATACTCTTACAATAAAAGAAAGTCTACAAGAAAATATATATATATTTATTAGCTCTTAGCTGGTCAATAAAGTTTTCATTTTTTGTTTTATACAAACTATTATTTAAATGGTCAACTGCTAAAATATATTCAATGTTAAAATCTTCCCAGGATTTCTTCATTTTGTAAATACATTAATTGGCCACCCAGGACAGATCATGAGTTCCCATTAGAGCTGGAAAGACCAATTATTTGATTTGTTTATGGACAGGAAATTAATTGACTGAATTGAATCATTTCTGATTTTCTGTTCTGTATAATTGTAAATTTGGATTTTGCTATTTCAACTATGCTTTTCACTATTTTCTGACATGTTAAAGACTAAACAAACAATCTTGTAACAAAAAATAATTAACAGAAGTTAATTTAGCCCTTAAGGACAACTAAATGAAAATGTGAACAGCATTAAGTGCAACCACAGAGTGCTCCTAATTACTGAGGAGTCACTCACACAAATGCATTTTTGTTACTTTCACTGTCTGACTTGTTTATCTCTTAGCCTTTAGGCATCTTGCACAACTTATCTTAATCAGTATGCTGCCTCTTGCCTCAGCTTTCTTGTATCCCTGCCACATTCTTGATGTTCTCACTGTTCCCTTTCCTTTTAACTCTTTTTTAATTTTGTATAATACTAATAAATCTTTTTTCTTTCTGACTGGTAGTTCTCCTACCTAGAGAAGCTGCTGCTGGTCCATGGAGCGTGGAGCTACAACCGTGTTACCAAGTGCATCCTCTACTGTTTCTATAAGAATGTGGTCCTCTACATTATAGAGGTAGGAGCTTCCCCGCCGCACCCTCTCAGTGTTACACACACACACACAC